ATGTTTCTGAAAAATAAAATAATCATATTATTATTAGAGCAGATATCAATAAAATATGACCATTTTATTCATGTTTAATATAAACTTACAAGGTCTTCGCGAAAGTTTTGAGTATCATCCTGTAGCTTTTGTTCCATCGCAATAAACTCTTCCATANTTTGCATAAGTGTAACTTCTAATTTTCGTTTTCGTTGCACCGTGGCTTGTTCATTCCTTTGTGCTATTTTTGGTAAGTCTTTTAATAGTTTTCTTATTTCCGAAAGTTCCGTGTAAATTTGCGTTAATTGCAAACTTTGGCTGTGATAAGCTTTTATTATCGTTCCTTTCACATCTATACATTCAAAATAAAAACAGAATAAAAATAGAACCATTTATAAGGAATCTAGATAGTAAAAACTTGTAAAATTCTCAAAATTAAGGATTTAAGAGCCATGACGTCGAGCAACGCAAGTGCGAGATATGTAGCTGTCAAACATTAAACTTACATGTTATTCTCGAATTAATTAATTTCTTACGGTTTTGTCCTCATTACAAAAAATGTTTTCAAAATGCTGAATTACAAAAACCTGTTTTCAAAAATTTCTTATTTTTTGGAAGTCAAAATGGTAGCAAACTACAGAATTTATACAGATAGTAAGAGCCGATAAGCTGGATGTTTTGCGATATAAATATATATGTACATATATATATATATATATATATATATATATATATATATATTTTTAGAAGTGTAAAGTTTTTTTACATTCATGAATTTTTGAATTAAAGATTCAATTCGTAAATTCATATAAGATGTTATATTTGTATTACATATGAGAATATCCATTTTACCTTCCAACTAATTTAGAAATAAAAGCAAAAAACATCTCGATCAGGAGTCGAACCTGGAATCTCTCGCTTTCCGTGCGATTGCCTTTCCAATTCGGCTACTAACTTTTTTATCCGCAATATAATTTCTAAATTAGTTGGGAAGAGAAAATGAATATTCTCGTATATGTGATGCAAGTATAGCATCTTATATGAATTTACGAATTGAAATTTCAGTTTGAAATCAAATGTAAAAAATTTACATTTCTAAAAAAATTACAAATATATATATATATATATATATATATATATATTTATTTATTCTGCACAACATCCAGTATCGGCTTTTACTACCTATCAAAATTCTGCAGTTAGTTTTAAACTACACAAACCTTAATTCTTAGTTAATTCATTAAAAAATGTAATGGTGAAATAGCTTGTAGTATAATTTTACTACAATTTTTACGAGCAAAATGTTTTTTTTTTATAGTTTAAGTAACATATTTTAAAACATGTTTGTAAACAAATGAATAGAAATAGATAATTTTGGATAAAATTATTTTGAAAACATTTCGTGATTGGTAAGATGGATGACTCCGATATACACGCATTTTCAATATTTATACCTCGAAAACACGTTTTGTTACCATTATTAATATTAATATTATTATTATCATTATTTTATTGTTATTTTTATTTTATTATTATTTTTATTTTTATT